AACTTGAATCAACATCAGAGTCTTGGCAGCTGAATGTTAGAAACTGTTGATGTCACAGGCAGATTGGATAAGGATTCTGCAGGGAAAGTTGTAAAAGCTTGCATATGACCTCAAGATTGCAATTTGAACTATACAATCCTGTATGACTACAGTGAAATCATCCTCAGATAGCAAAGGAGGGAGCCACACCCCAAAGATTGCACAGACTCAAGCAGAGAACAAAATTCTAGGTTGTGTTGGGCTTTTCTGCGAGCATACTGCAGTCAGCACCAGAATCATTAGTGGGTCATGGACTAGAGGCCCATAGTATAGAGTACCCAGCATTTTGCACAACAAGGTAGGGGCAACATAGGCCAAGGTGCAAGAATAGGACTTGAATACTCACAAACCTACTGCTAGCAGCAGGAGAGGTTCAGGTGGCTGATGGTTACTAATTCAATACAGCGAGCAGCAAAGACAAACCAAGAACAGGTCCATGTGTTGCAGTCTGGAGCAGTGGCAGGAAGATGCTTCCACAATGCTGAAAGGCAGGAAAGACAGCACACTGCATTCCCACATGACCCTCCACATAGCAGATGACATCAGCGCTCACTCTCCCAGCAATAACCATTTCTCCTTTACCATCTTTAATTCAATGAAATTCTTAGACTTTTTTTCTCATTAAATATTTTCCAGGTCTATTCCCCCACTGATATCTTTCTTTTAAGATCCTTTTGAATATCCTTCTTGACTCCTGTTCCATAAGCGTCTTTAATTCTTCTCTTTTAAGGGTCATCTCCTGATAAACGTCTGTACCTCTCTTCTTTTTATCTAACTGTTCTAATTTATAGAGCTCCTCCATCATCCTCTATTTTTTTCTGCACCTATCGATATCAATATACCCGATATATGCTTTATGTGCATCCCAAATTGTGGCCACCGAGACCTCCTCGGCCTCATTGCACTTAAAAAATTGCTCAATTTCCTGCCTTAGCCTATTCTCTATTTCTAGGTCCTATAGAAGCCTCTCATTTAGTCTCCACGTATTTATTTTGACCTGATTCCTACCTACCCATAGTCTCATTGTGACAGGAGCATGATCAGAGATGGGCATAACCTCTATATTGGAACTCACCAATGACTCCAATTGTCTATGCTTGATCATTATATAATCCAATCTTGAGTACAAAAACATCAGTTTCACCTGGATATTTTAATCTCCAAGTATCACTCAATTGGCACTTATGTAATAGTCTCTTCAATAATTTGGACTTCCTACTCCCCTCTCCGCGTACATGAAGACGCATCCATCTGAGGATCCAGACACACATTTAGGTCTCCTGCCACAACCAGGCTACCTTTTTTAAATTCAGAAAGTTTCCCTAATACACCTTCCAGGAACATCTCCGGATTTTTATTTGGACCATAAATATTAGCTAATGTATATTCAACTCCTTGTAACTTTCCTCTCAAAAATAAGAAACGGCCCTCCGGATCCTCCATTCTTTCCTCCAAGATAAAATTAGCTTTTTTTTTTGAGAACCCAATTGGAATACTTTTAGCTCTTTTAAGCGGGCAATCAGCATATTACCACATTGCGTAATTATTATTATACAATATTTATATAGCGCCAAAAGGTTTGCTCAGCGCTGTACATTATAGAACATGAGACAATACAGTAACAAAACAATACACAAGGGTTCGAGGGCCCTGCTCTTTCGATCTTACAATCTAGGAAATGCTTAGTATATAGCTTAACATTTGTGTCCTGAGTTATATGTATCTCTTGGAGAAACACAACATCCATCGCGTTTTGGTGGGATTTCCCTTAGTATCTTATGTCTTTTTGTTGGAGAATTTAACCCTTTCACGTTATAAGTCATGAACGTTACCACAATCATTTCAAGTATTATCCTGTTGCCCTACTGGCATTCCCATCACAGGGAGATAAGATACAGAAGATACAGTTTCCATCCCTTCCCCCCCACTGCATAACCCCCCCGATCCCCCCACATTCTTTTACGCTCAATCTGTACCCCCACCCACCCCTCCTGGCCTATATTTTGCCTTGGAACCTGGCATGTGGACTCCCCACTGATGACTCCTAGTTTGGGGTGAAACTCAGAACACAGACAGCCCCTCACCTGAACAGATGACATTCCAAGGACAGGATTAGCAGCATGCCTGACCTCCGAACTACCCACCCACTCCACATTCTCCATATCCCATCCCCCTCCTCCCCCATTGATCCGATCTCGGGGGAAAGAGAGGGTATTAAAGCGGGATTAATGACCCGCCAAGGGGAGCCAAAGGGAGAGGGAAGAGAGAGGATAAAAAAAAAAGAGCTTTTCCACTCTCCCTCCGGCCCAATCCCCGCCGCCTCACCCTACTACTTCTTCCTGGATACCTGTTGCCACCTTCCCGAGCCCTCCCCTCTAGGCCCCTTTGGCCATCCCTGGAAGTCCTTTTTCAGTAAGTCTAAATTCTCACAAAAGTCATTAAATTCTTCTGGGAATCTCAGCCTCGCCAACCTTCCATCTTTCCACCGAATAAGACATGCAGTAAAATAGAAGTTATATTGCACTTTCTTTTTCATGTGGGCCAGCAGCGTTTAAAAGATCTCCTTCTCGCCAATGTCTCTGGGGAGATGTCCGCAAAAATATGCAGGGTTGTTTCCTCATATTTTATCTCAGTACGGTCCCGCAAACCCTTTCCATATTCGTTTTCTGTTTCCAAAATGATGGAACCGGACAATCACATCTCTGGGGTTTTCTGCCAATATTCCCTTTGGCCGTCTAACCCTTTGCACTCTTTCAAATTTTTCTGCCACTGAATTTCCCCTAATTGGATTACAGATTCTCTCCACTTTCTCCTGAAGATCTTCTTCCTGTCCCGCTTCTTCTGGTAGGCCTCTGATCCTTAGATTATTTCTTCTATTTCGGTTCACCTGCTCTTCTACCATAAATTATATCTTTCTCTGTTCTTTCCACATCACCTCCACCTGTGATTCCAATTTATTGATTTGTTGTGCATATCTCTCCATTTTCTCTTCCGCATATTCAGTTCGGGTTAGTGTCTGACCCAGATCAGTGCAAAGTGTCCTGATCTAATGTTTCATGGACATTTTTGCAAACATTTCCACCATATCAGTTTTTTGTAAATAGTTGTGGCATGTGTCCTTGCTGTTCCATATTCCCTTGTTCTGTTCCACTTTCCAAGTTTACATATTCTTTATTCTGGTTCTCTTCTAATGTCCCAAGTGAAAGTCTGGATTGGTCACTCTCAAATTTTTTTTAGGACCTTTATGCTGATTCTCCCGGGCTTGGGTCTCTGGGCTTTTATCTTGCAAGCGCATGTATTTTTTTTGTACTTGTGTTTGCATTTGATTGGGGGGTTTTTGAGCCTCCCTTTAATCGACCTATTCTTCATTTCAAAAATTGGCAATTAGATTTTCTCAGTTCTAAAAAGTACTAGCCCCAAGATAGCCCTCTTTTTTTTTTTTCGCTAGAGACCCAAACGTCCCTTCTTATCTTATTTGTATATAAGTGTAGACCCACCGACCCCCAAGACCTCCTAGGACCCTAAAATACATTCCTCACTTTCACATAATAGTCCCAAAAGTCTGTCTTTACTGCACAGGCAAAAGTTCTTTAAAAGATTTTAACGCTATCAGCGGCGACTCACCCTCCCCTTTTGTGCCGTGGGTACACTACTGCTCCGAGACCAGGATCCTGGAGTAGAGTGTATGCTCTGGTGCTCCCCACCAATCAGGGATCCTGGGGCATCTCCGCTTGCCAGAAGTGACATAGGTGTCTCCCTTTAAGTTACGCTGCTTCCTTGTCCTCAGTCTCCTTCAGCTCTCCCTCAGTATCCAGGACTTCAGCCACTGCCACACCGGCAGTCTCGTGGGCACTCCCGGGGTCCTTCCAAGCTCAGAGGTTGCTTCCTCCACTCAGCTCCACTTCACTCCACCTCCCGCTGGCTCCACAGCCCACGGGTGGACAACCGGAGCACACCGCCTGGGATCCTCCGCCGCCTCACGCTATCAAGGGGAGACCGAGCCACGGCAGCAGCACGGGCAGGACCAGGTAGGCTCTAGGGCTATCCCTCATGGAGCTCATGACGGGCGCTTGGAGCTCCAGCGTTCTGCTGCTTTACAGCGGCATGTTCTGGCCCCTCCCTCCTAAAATGTTTTAACAGCTGTATTACCATGTTGATGAGGGGGAAAGAAGGAACTGGGGACTGCAAAATAAAACATTATAAAATACGAGACTAAAATTGCAGATTTAAATTAGTTGTAAACTCATTTATTATTTTTACCTACAGGGAAGCTTATAATAAAGCTTACCTGTAGGTAAAATGAATATCTCCTAAAAGAGTACTGTTTAGGAGATATTCTAGCGAGCTGAAGCCAGTGACATCACTGACGCATGCACTCTGAAGGAACGGCATACCAGTGCCGTTTTTTCAGAGTTGCAAGCCGCGGCTGAGACTTTAGCACACATGCACCGGAGTGAAGTCATCGCAACTCGCCCAATCAAGCAGCCGTAGCCTGTGAACCCGGAAGGAAGACACGGTGAAGATGGAAGCTTCTGCAGCGGCGACAGCGCGCCGCTGGAGGGCTGCGTTTGAAGGTAAGTCCTTCATAATGTTCTAGTATGCGATGCATACTAGCACATTATGCCTTTGCCTTGCAACGTTTTTTTTTTTTTTATTAGAGTATACAATCGCTTTAAGTTTCAGGCCTTAGGTAAGGGCTCAGTGTTGGTGCCAGATTATACATTTTCTAAGGTTAGGGGTCAGGGGGTGTAAATTAACACATTTATAACTCTTGTTTTTTGGGGGAAACCCCAGGCCAAAAAAAAACATAACAATCATTACATGTTTTAGAAACATAAATGAAAAACACAAAAGTATATGTTGTGAAATAAAACACTCTATTCCTAGAAGACAAACTGCATGGAATTAAAATTATTTATGACACATTCCAATATGTAAAGCTGTCCACTGAAAATAACACATTATGTGTCATGAGAGGTTTGCTGCAAGTCCCTTTCAGCTGTTGTGTCCTCCATAGCATTTTGAGCTTCAGATAGTTCTTGAAAGATTAATGTCTTTAAATATTCCATTCTCTTCTCTTCAGCCAGCTTTACAAATTTGTGCACAGGGACCTGGAAAACACATTGTTTAAGAATCGTCAGCAACTGCTACTTGAAGAAATGGTTTGTAGGCAGGACAGGCACATTGCAAATCCTTAGTTTATTACTAAAGACAAGATCCAAACATCATATACTGCCTCTTAAAGTAGACTTGTTGTCATGTACCAAGCAATTATATACTTGTTAACACTTGCCCTCCAGAAGATTTACCCCTCTTCCTGACCAGGCCATTTTTTTGCGATACGGTGTTGCGTTACTTTGACTGACAATTGTGCGGTCATGCAACGTGAAAGTTATAGCGTCTACAAATAGTGGTATATATACTGGAATTTTTATTTATTTTTTTTTTTATACTAGTAATGTTAGCGATCAGCACCTTGTAGTGGGACTGCGGCGGTCATTCTGACACTGGGTGGGAGCTAACTACCACTGCCAGTGACACTAATACAGTGATCAGTGTTAATGAAAAGCACGGACACTGTACTAATGACACTGAGCAGGACGGTGTTAACTGTGTGTTAGGAAGTGATTTTATTGTGTACTATGTGCTGTTTTACTAAGCAGGCCTGCTGACAGGAGAGAGACCTGTGTTTACACACAGATCTCTCCCCTCTTGGGTTCGCCAACAATCACCGAGTCCTGGCCGGGACCCGGTGATTGACATCCTCATGAGCCAATAGCAGCGCAGGCAGGCGCGCACACGTCCCCTAACCAAAAATGCAAAATCACATATATTTATGTGATTTTGCTCACTGAAGCCACTGTGTAGCAGTATACCTGCTATGAGGCAGCGGGCAAGTGGTTAAATTATTTGGCAGTATGAAAAAATTTTAGAAAAAGTGAAATTAACAAATTCAGTTAGATTACTATTACTTTAGAGATCTCTTTGACGAAACACATTTCCTGGCACTTTTTTAAGTGAAGCTTGATGTTTGCTACAGATGTACATCCAAGGCAAGTTAGGTTATTTTGTGCATTTTAAGGACAGGAACTGCTGAATATAGTCAGCACAACCTGTCAATCATTGCCCTGTGCGCAATATAACAGATGCTTGAGTCACTGTAGCAACACACTGAAATGAAACCTGCCCTAAAAGAAATATTAAGACTGTCACTGCTGACCACTCTCTTGGAAAATACTAGATGCCTGACAGTTGTCCTATGGCTTCAATACCTTTGCAGTCACTGACCCTGACTATGATTTACTTTAGGGGTTGTGGCTACCATCTACTTTACTAGTTTGAAAGTTTGTTCCATGTAAGTGACTCCAAATAATTAAGTTTAGGGGCAGCAAATCAACTAGCATTTCCAGGCGGAGGTGGTCAATGTCAGCTTCCAGTTTTCTCTCTACATGGAAAGCTCTGAAATTCATTAGCACATGAGTAAAAATGTACAGAAATGTGATGTTCTTGCAAGATACAGGATTGCACAACAGCAGTTCAGGACAAAAGTGACAAGTACAGTTTGCTGTGGGCTACAAGAGTGGATTCAGCTTAAGCGAGGTTAGAAAGAAACCACAGTGCTCAACATTAACCACACATTACTATTTTTCCATTTGTTATCTTTACTTTTAAGGTGGAAGATCATTAAATGTTATATGGCAAGAAATATGGTTGGAAGAGCCAAACCGAACCTCCAAGGCACAGTGCTGGGACTAAACTAATGATAGTTTGAATCCAGCATTTACAGTAGTATCTTTTATCCAGGCCCCCTGCAGCTTTATGCCAAAGTGCTAGTATGCACTGTATACTAACACCTTATGACAGACTACCTGTAAAAGAAGACCTCCAGCACTGCACTCTGTCAGTGCTCGGGCGTTTTCATCTTCACCCAATCTTCCTTCCAGGTTTCCTCCATTGTGCTGTTTGATTGGCCAGACCACAATGCTGTCACTTCCACGCATGTGCATGGGGAGTCACATCACCACGGCACAGAGAGGGTGCCTTAATGTACTCCGAGTTGCACATTGTACAGTACCACTGACAGGCAAGAGGGGGCATTCATGGCAGAAGAGACTGATGGGGTCTCTTCTGCAATAAAAACCCTGCCTGATAGCATTTTTTTTTATTTCTAAGTTTAACCACTTGTAATCCGCCCTATAGCAGAAGTACTACTACAGGGCGGCTCCGTAAAATCACAAATATATATACGTGATTTAAATTTCCAGCTAGGAGGCACGCGCCGTCCTACCCGCGCCACTATTGGCAGTTGGGGATGACAATCACCAGGTCCCGGCCGGCAAGCAGGGATCATAGGCAAAGCTGACAGGGGAGAGACCTATGTGTAAACACCACAGGTCTCTCTCCTTTCAGCATGGAAATGCTGCTTTGTATCTCTCTGCACAGCAGAGAGATACAAAGTAGCATGTCTCCTAAGTAAAACAGCACACAGTTAACCCTTTGATCACCCCAGATGTTAACACCTTCTTGCCCAGTGTCATTAGTACAGTGTCAGTGCTTTTTATTAGCATTGATCACTGTATTAGTGTCACTGGGGATGTCAAAGGCGGTTAGTCAGTTCCCACCCAGTGTCAGAATGCCCGCCGCAGTCCCGCTATAAGTCGCTGATCGCTGCCATTACGAATATTAAAAAAATAAAAATACAAATTCCAGTATATATCACCATTTGTAGATACTATAACTTTTACGTAAACCAATTAACATACAATTATTGGGATTTTTTTCTTAGCAGACATGTCACAGAATACATTTTGGCCTAAATTTATGATGAAATTTAGTTTTTTTTTATTGGATATGTTTTATAGCAAAAAGTCAAAAATATATATTTTTTTTTTCAAAATTGTCAGTCTTTATTTGTTTATAGTGCAAAAAATAAAATATATAAAAAACAAAATCGCCGAGGTGATCAAATACCACCGGAAGAAAGCTCTGTGGGGATTAAAAATGACAGATTTCATTTATGTACAGCGTTGCATGACTGTGCAATTGTCAGTTAAAGTAACACAGTGCCGTATCAAAAAAAGGGGGGTAAACCCTCTGGAGGGCAAGTGGTTAATATCACCTTATGGCTACATGTGCCTGAAAAGTAATCAAAGAAAATACAGAGATTATGTGAAAAACACAATTCCCAGTTTAAATCTTTGCCTAAAGCAGTAAAAATAGAAAAGGGGTTGCTTACTGCTACATAGCACACATTAAAACAACATCAGATTTCCCACAACTAACCCACAGTGGCAATGTATCTCTGCAATCAACAGTATGCTGTTACATTACTTCTAAACAGTGGAAAAGCTAATACATTTTATACACCAGGCACAGATTTTTGCAATTCTAAACTAGAGGAATCTAAAAATGAATACTAAATAATGAAGGGAAACCAGTAATGAAAACAAAAAGAAAGCAAAACAAAACTCACCACCACAGAAGAAAAACCAAAAGATTTGAGAATTTTAATCTTCAGTGCAAGCTTCCCCAGTGGATGAAGAGTGCCCAAAGCAAAAGCATTTGGAGAACAACACAATACAGCAATACTGTAAATAAAAAAAATTGAATTAACTTTAACCTAATCATGAACCTACATTTAGACCTGTGTTTAGCACTATTTGAACTCCAGGCAGACCTTGTTTTCATGATTGATTTTTCATTTTGATACTACGCAATGTGCAAACACCGATTTCTCACCATCTGTACTACTTTGTGCTGGATAGAAAAATCATGTCAACAAATGTTCTTTGGGGGATGGAAGCTAAGCAAACTTCACCAAGCTCTGAATGATGTTCACGTTAGAGAGAAACATGCAGAAGGGCCATCACTGACTTTTCTTTTTGAAAATGATAGTTACCCAACTGTCACTCTGATCCTCTGAGCCACTGCCCTGCAACAAGTATGAATGCATATAAGGACTTCTGATTTCATCAACTTTCATGATCTCCATATTTGTTTTGAAATAATGACACAAAATATGGAAGCCAAATGATCAGCATAGCAGCCAGACAACTGGCATTTTCAGAAGGAAGTCAGGAATGACAGATTCCATATTCTTTGTATGTCAGGTTTATTTTAAATATAGCAAATGGTAGTCAACCAATAACCTTTCTTACCGAACAACATTTTCTGAGATGTTAGCTCTCTGTAGGTTGTCTGTCTCTAGGTCACCTACAGGAACCAACTGGTTTTCTTGGGTATCCAAAGCCAACACAAAATCTAGGAAAACAATAAAAAAAAAAGTATAATTTACTTCAAAAACATTCTGCATGTGTAATCTTATATTAAATTTTTTTTTTTTATATAAAATGGAATTGATACACCGTTTAGAAAATGTTTAAGAAAAGCCTTTTCTTCTGGAAAATACACTGTTCAAAAAAAATTAAGGAACACTTTGAAAACACATAAGATCTCAATGAGGAAACATATCGTGCTGGATATCTATACTGACGTGGACTGGATAATCTGTTCGGAACATAAGGATGCCCCATTGTTTGATGGAAATGAAAATGATCAACCTACAGAGGACTGAATTCAAAGACATCCTGAAAATCAAAGTGAAAAAATATGCAGCACGCTAGTTTATTTTGCTGAAATTTCATTGCAGCAACTCAAGATAGTACTCAGTAGGTTGTATGGCCCCAACATGCTTGTGCGCATGCCTGACAACGTTGGGGCATGCTACTAATGAGACGACAGATGGTGTCCTGGGGTATTTCCTCCCAGATCTGGACCAGGGCATCAGTGAGCTCCTGGGCAGTCTGAGGTGCAACCTGGAGGCGGCGGATGGACCAAAACATGATATCCCAGAAGTATTCTATTGGATTTAGGTCTGGCGAGTGTGGGGGTCATTCAATGGTATCAATTCCTTACTCCTCCAGGAACTGCCTGCATACTCTCGCCACATGAGGCCGGGCATTGTCATGCACCAGAAGGAACCCAGGACTAACTGCACCAGCGTAGGGCCAGACAATGGGTCCAAGTATTTCATCGCGATACCTAATGGCAGTCAGGATGACATTGTCTAGCCTGTAGAGGTCTGTGTGTCCCTCCATGGATATGCCTCCCCAGAAAATCACTGACCCACCACCAAAACAGTCATGCTGAATGATGTTACAGGCAGCATAACGTTCTCCACGGCTTCTCCAGGCACTTTCACGTCTGTCACATGTGCTCAGAGTGAACCTGCTCTCATCTGTGAAAAGCACAGGGTGCCAGCAGCGGAACTGCCAATTCTGGTGTATAATGTCAAATGCCAATCGAGCTCTATGGTGCCGGGCCCACTAGAAGATGTCGGGCCCTCAGGCCACCCTCATGAGGTCTGTTTCTGATTGTATGGTCAGAGACTATCACACCTGTGGCCTGCTGGAGATCATTTTGTAGGGCTCTGGCAGTGCTCATCCTGTTCCTCCTTGCGCAGAGGAGCAGATACTGGTCCTGTTGATGGTTTACGGACCTTCTACGGCCCTGTCCAGTTCTCCTAAAGTAACTGCTATCTACTGGATTCTCCTCCATGTTCTTGAGACCGTGCTGGGACACAAAGCAAACCTTCTGGGAAAGGCATGTATTGATGTTCCATCCTGGAAAAGTTGGACTGCCTGTGCAACCTCTGTAGGGTCCAGGTATCGCCCCATGTTACCAATAGTGACACTGACCCTAGCCAAATGCAAAGTAGTGAAAAACAGTCAGAAAAGAGAAGTAGGGAAAAAAATGTCAGAGGCCTCCACCTGTAAAACCACTTCTGTTTTGAGGGTTGTCTCATCGTTGCCCATCTAGTGCACCTGTTGTTAATTTCATTATCAAAGCAGCTGAAACTGATTAACAATCCCCTCTGCTACCTAACTGACCTGATCAATATCCCAGGAGTTTAATTGACTTGATGCTATACTCTGACTAAAGTTTTCCTTTACAAACTAAAAAATCCCAGCGCCAATCAAAGAAAGTATACAATTATGCAGCTGTGCACCAGTGAAAACCACCAATAATGAATAACACAAAAAACAGCGCAAAAATTAAATAAATAAAAATAATCACAAATAAATGTCCGTGCAAAAATATATATATATAATATTTCAAACATAAGTCCTTATTTTCCCAAAAGGATTTTCAAGACAATGTTCCAAAATGTGCTTCCACCTAATCACCACGTGAAAAATAATATTGACCGCACTCACCAGATGGAGGTGAGTAATAAGCCTCATAGGATATAAGGGATCCTATAGCCCCTCAGGAGGAACTCAAATCGCCTTCTTCACCCTGCTTAGATACAGCAATCGACTTCACTCTACTTCTCCATGGAATCCTCAATAATGTGCAAGGAAAGAAAGGCTACATAGTGTAATACTGCCACTCAATACATATAAATCGATAGAATAAGGACACTCACATGTTTCAATAAAATAACAGGCCTTGTTTAATAGCCTCAAAGGCTTCAAAGGAACAAGTTTCCAAATTGTAAATATAGGGATCTCACGCTTTAAGAATCACTGTAGAAGATGACCAGCTTTCACCTCTAAAATGGCCGCTTGAACCGCAAAAGTCGGCGTGCGTTCCAAATACCGGAAGTGACATAGGCAAAGATTACGGCAGACTGGAAGTGCGTCAACGCGTTTCGCCCCACCCACAGGACGTTCTTGGCCAACGTCACTTCCGGTATTTGGAACGCACGCCGACTTTTGCGGTTCAAGCGGCCATCTTAGAGGTGGAAAGCTGGTCATCCTCTACAGTGATTCTTAAAGCGTGAGATCCCTATATTTACAATTTGGAAACTGGTTTTCTTGAAGCCTTTGAGGCTATTAAACAAGGCCTGTTATTTTATTGAAACATGTGAGTGTCCTTATTCTATCGATTTATATGGTATTGAGTGGCAGTATTACACTATGTAGCCTTTCTTTCCTTGCACATTATTGAGGATTCCATGGAGAAGTAGAGTGGAGTCGATTGCTGTATCTAAGCAGGGTGAAGAAGGCGATTTGAGTTCCTCCTGAGGGGCTATAGGATTCCTTATATCCTATGAGGCTTATTACTCACCTCCATCTGGTGAGTGCGGTCAATATTATTTTTCACGTGGTGATTTGGTGGAAGCACATTTTGGAACATTGTCTTGAAAATCCTTTTGGGAAAATAAGGACTTATGTTTGAAATATTATATATATATATTTTTGCACGGACATTTATTTGTGATTTTTATTTATTTAATTTTTGCGCTGTTTTTTGTGTTATTTAAAGTTTTCCTTTAACCGCTTAAGGACCGCCCTATAGCAGATATACTGCTACAGGGCAGCACTTGTGTGCAGAATCTCGTATATATACGTGATTTTGCATTTTTGAGCATCTCCGACAGAGAGGAAGATTGTTTTGTTTACGAACAATCTTCCTCCCTGTCAGCTCGAACACACTGCTCGGGATGGCTGTGCACAGTACAGCTTACAGTGAAGAATACACCCCCTAGTAAAACACTCCCAGCACACAGTTAACTCTCTGATCACCCCTCACATTAACCCCTTCCTGTCCAGTGCCATTAGTACAGTGTCTGTGCTTTTTTTTTTTTAGCACTGATCACTGTATTGGTGTCACTGGGGTGCCAGTGACACCAAGTTAGTTCCCCCCAGTGTCAGAATGTCTGCCACAGTCCTGCTAAAAGTCGCTGATCGCCGCCATTACTAGTAGAAAAAAAAATCCAATTATCTATACCGCCATTTGTAAATGCTATAACTTTCACGTAAACCAATTCATTTTTTAATGTAAAGCGCTGAGCAAACCGTTGGTGCTATACAAATCCTGTATAATAATTCACAAGTATTGGGATTTTTTTTTTTAGCAAAGACATGTCACAGAATACACTTTGGCCTAAATTTATGACGAAATTAGATTTTTTACATTTTTTACTGGACATGTTTAATAGCAAAAAGTCCAAAATATTGTTTTTTTCTCAAAATTGTCGGTCTTTTTTTTGCTTATAGTGCAAAAAATAAAAAATGCACAGGCGATCAAATCCCACCAAAAGAAAGCTCAATTCGTGGGGAAAAAAAATGGAGGTAAATTTCATTTGGGTGCAGTGTTGCATGACCGCGCAATTGTCAGTTAAAAAAACACAAAAAATGACCAGGTCATGAAGGAGGATAAATCCTCAGGAGGGCAAGTGGTTATGTTTTTTGAGCAGTGTAGTTATAGATTTTCATATCCGCCAGTAACTTCTTAGCCTTATTGAAAAAGAATCTGCCCACAAAGAAAAACATTGGCCCCAAAAAAATTTGTTGGAAGGTGATATGTGTTAATTAAATGACCACATAGCTTTAAGGTTTCAGACTAAATTCAGCTGTGTTACATTGGAACTTTTATGCAACCTGAGTTAGGTAATGGCAACTTTTATCCAGGTTTTCCAGAGGCAGGCATTTTGCTGTATGACAGACCAACAGGCCCAACACCCCCCCCCCCCCCCCCATCAGTGAGAACTATAGCACTGAAAAATCAGCAAAGCTCATGGTATCTGCTGATTGAAGAGTGATGGGTATGACTGAATTAACAGGATCACTACAAAGAACACTCAACTGAAACACTACAGAACGTTGCTTGACATGGTCAGAACAATGCCAGAATTTAACTTTGCTGGTTAGGCCAATGAAGGTGCGTCATCCATAGCATCAGGTGAGAGTTTTTTTCTGCCCTCTTACTAATCCTGTCAATGGCAAAGCTCCGCTAGTGTGGCTGCTTACTGGCCATTCTTTACATAAAGTCCTCATGCTGCTTATGCTAATAATTTCCTGCAGAGAAATAAAATACAGGAGGTGTGCCAGTCAGCTGGCAGGTATGTCTCCTCATTTTTTTGTAAGTGGGCCCTTGAGGAGCCAATGCAGGGTAATGAATAGGGTAGGTGTGCAAAGGAGGTAGTAGAATGAGGAGGGAGTCTCAAGTGTGAGTAAACCACACAAGGTTCATTTTCTTCATGGCTGGATGAGAATGCAGCTGTTAATGCTGCTGTATTTGGATTTTTGTTTACTTTACAGACTTTATCATGCTGAAGTGAGCCAGTAACTTCTGTATAACAACTTCTTATGGCAATTTAACAAACTCGTGAGCACAGAGGTAATTGTGTTGTGTTACATTTATTTTCATGCAACTGAAGAGAAGCCTACTAAGGTCACAATAAAGACAATTTTTGTGACAAATTTTTTTGGTGCCAGCTAATCCCCTAAATATGGCTATGGGTAGGACAAAGGGGTTTGCAATAACATTAACCAAAGATGGCCATGGCTAGGACAGGTGGGCAGGCAGTAACATTAAATATGGCCATATTTGGGCAATGATGTAATCACAATCCCTGCATGCATGATCTACTACTCCATCTGGTATGGATTTTAGGAGCATGGTGCTCCCCCTTAAAATCAATACCAGATCCAAAGGGTCTAGTATAGATTTTGGGGAGGACCCCCATACATTTTCTTTTGTTTTTTTTTGCAAGGGGTTCCCCCTTAAAACCCAAAACATATTCTAAGGATAAACCCAGATAAATGCACAGTAGGGATGGGGGAAGCAAAGTACCTTGGGTACATTCTAGGGAATAAGCTGGTAAAACCACAAGTCAGCAAAGTGGAGGCTATACCATCCTGGCCGCATCCTTTTTAAAAGAGACATGTGCGGGCATTCCTATGTACCACTGAGTACCATCGGTGATCTGTGCCAAATTTTGCCATCCTGGTGGCTCCTTGCTTGGCCTGACTAAAGGCCTAAGTCGTTTCTGGTAGAATTGAACCCATAAGTTGAGAGATAGATAAAAGATAACCAAATTAGACAAAATAGATAAAAGAGAATAAACTCTACAAAAACATGGACCGTCTCACACCTACTGTATGCACTTTCCTTTGATGCAATTTCCAGTGATAGCAATATAAACGCATCAATACGCACGTCATCACAGGTTTTTAAAAACGTACTGCAACCACGCTTTTTTTTTTTTTTTTTTTTTTTACACATCAACATGCATTAACACGGGTGGACGTGGGCCAAAATGCATGTATTGACATGCATATTGATGTGTTATTATTCATTTAAATTGAAAACAAAAATAAAGCAAAATACGTTGGGAGTAAGTCCTTAATACTGTAAAAGCAATGTATATGCTACTGGCTCATACCAATGTAGTAAGTGTTGGCAATCTGCAAGCTGTACTGATAAAAGGCCGGATCCTTAATAAATATTTTCAAGTCCTTGTGTAAAGTTTGAAAGTGTTCAGCGGGTGTAGGAGGGACTTTCTTTAAGCAGTGCAAAGAATGGCTTTTTAAAAGGGGATTATTCATCATCAAACAGAGGTTATTGTGCATACGAATGCTCTGTTCTTTGAGATCTGAAAAACAAAAAATATAGAGGATTCCAAGGATATGATTGCAATAAGTGCTCAAACTGAATCAATTGCAAACCTAGGCAAATGAAACTGAAAAGATGAAAAGATTTGAAACCAGAGGTCATCTTTCTGAAAACTACCTGCCACAGTTATCTGTAGATTCAGAGATGTACTGTAGGTAATTTTTTTTGTTATTCATTGAGGGACAGAATGCCTAAATCAAAGCTACATGAAGAAAGGGCCAAACCAAATATGGAAATTGCCACGACCAAGTGGAGGGCACAAAAGATCAACCTGGTGCTCCAGACCAGGAACAGATAATCACTACTAAAGGGGCACATTCTACATGAAGGCGTGATGAACCTCATTCAGCAAAGTGTAAAATAAACAAACCTTTCACATAAAAACTACTACCAAAAGAGAAAACCGGACAATGATGTTGTCAACAAGAAATATTTCCTGAACCAAGTCCCAGGGAAAAAAACTGGTTCCTAGGAGGAAGTTCAAACAGACAGACAATAGAAAAAAAAACATCTGCTTAAGTGCAGAAAAGTTCCCTGTTCTATGCTGTGCAGTGTTTGAAGTCAGATCCCCACCCCCTGCCTGTTGGAGTGGAGTTTAGTGAGTTTGAGCTGAGTCTGTGTGTTTTAGAAGGCTGGAGCGATAAGACTGCTGCAGGTAAACAGGCACAACATATGTAGGATTGGTTTCATCCTGTCCATTACCTGAGTCTTGTCACTTCAGTGGGTATATGTAAAGGTTTACAACCACTTTAAAGCCCACCATACCAAACCCTTGGGATTCAAGGCAAATTTGGACAGAGACGTAGCATGTCCAGAAAAAGACCAGCCAGTCAACAGCAGGAGGCTTAAAAGTGTATTTCAACATTTGCTGCCAAACTGGGATAACACCTACTTTATTTTATATTTTTACCTTACATGCTACCATTTGCACAGCATAACTTAAAATATGTAAAACTGCAGCTTGCCTTTTTTTTTTTATTTTTAGAAGATTTATTCTGGACCCTAATGCAGGGAAACCAATCAGCTTCCAGGTTTTATTGCCAAAGCTTAATTGAACAAGCTGAAGTTAGAAGCTTATTGGCTATCATGCACAGCTGCACCAGATTCTGTGTGCACCAGTTTTAGCAAATCCCCCCAGTCAGTCCTAACAAAGAGTTAAAGGTTTAGGGGCTAGGTCTACACTGATTTACACTGATTTTCAGGCGCTCCCTGAAAACCCACCTCTTCAGGGAAGCCTACCCCACCCTCACCTAACAGCCGCTGCCCTTCCCTCCTCCTACCACTCCATCCCCCACAGCCGTTTCCTCCTGTGCCTCTACCCCCCTCCCTCCTAGATTGTAAGCTCGAAAGAGTAGGGCCCTCTTACCCCTTGTGTACTGTTTGATGTTACTGTTCTGTTTCATGTATTGTCCCCCCTCTATTGTACAGCACTGAGCAAACCCTTTGGCGCTATATAAACTTGATAAATAAATAAATAAATTAATTTATACTTGCATTCTACAGTGAACTTGTTATTGGAAAATAATATAAACAAGCATGACTATGCATTATCTTGTAAAAAAGTCCATCGGAATGCAGTCCCAGAACAAAATACATACACATTATGAAAATATGTACTGAATTTGAATGTGCAAATGTGGGGGCTCCTGGGGTGTGCTTAACATTGTAGAAAAGTCCATGTGCTCATGCCTAGTTAAGTTTCTGTAACGCACCCCATAACCCCTTAAAACTAGAGAATGTGAATAAGTAAAAGTGATCTCAGTCAGCTTAATGTGCTGTAAGTAGCTGACTTATGCGTTTCATTTAGCCAGTTAAGTTTCCTGTTTGTCTTCCAGGAGAGACTCTTGGTTATTTTCAATAGTATTCCTCTATTGCTTTACTTCATGTTGTAAAAAAAAGCTGTTTACAGACCTCAACAGACCAAGCTAAATTTGCACACTAAATTTTAATGGTTCTTCCCTTATCAGATGGCTCAGTCTGAGGTTTCATTTAGAGAAATTCAGCCTCAAGGAAGACTGCTCCTATTGTGTTGTCTCTTCTCATAAAGAAAAAGAGAGGAGAAGAGAGTAAGAGCGATAGAGAAAATAAATGAGTAAAATAAAATTATATATATAATACGTAGTGTGCTAACTCCTCAAAGAACATACAGGATGATAGCAAATAAAACAATAATCATGAGACCACAAATAAAATCTGTCAGAAAATAGTGACCCAGTCCCAAATAGAGTGTCCTAATTTAGTGCTTGTGTGAAGTGTCTAGCATCCGTTTCAAAAAACTATTTTCTTCCCTTGTGAATACCCTCCCTGCTCACCTTGTAATTAGCCCTACATAATAGCATAGGTCAAATGCGCTTGTGGTTAAATCTTATCCTTCATGCTGCATTCTTGGCAGACCAGATGTTCCTTTCTTGGCGCCAGTGGCAGCTGTGAGGAAGAGCTGCTGTGCAATGTTCTATTTTGCTGAGACTCCTGACTGCTCATTGCCTGGCTGAGACTAACATTCACCATCCTAGTGGAAAACTCTGGAGTCCAGTCTTTTAAAAGGAACAGTACATGGGAAGTAGCCACTAAAGGACAGAGGTGGATGTGCAGTTTCACCAACCTAAAAATGTATGTGGCCTATTTTATTATAGGTCAATGAAGAAGGTGAGTGCATAGCACATGTATTAGTGGTGGGAATTACCACGAATAATTGCATACCGTGAGCATTGCTGGGTGTAGGAAGGATTGTGGTCTATGAACACTGAAACACTTGGTGTGGAGCACGTTGAAAATTGGTTTACTGTGAGAGTGCACAGGGTTATCTTATTTATTGTTTTTAGCTAAACGATGTTGCACTTCGAAATGTTTTGTATGTTTTTTTGGGATCATACTACAGGTTTGCAGTCACAAGAAATGAAGATAGGCTTGGAGGGAACCTAGTTGCAGCATGAAGGATAAGATTTAACCACAAGGGCATTTGACCTATGCTATTATGTAGGGCTAATTACAAGGTGAGCAGGGAGAGTATTCATAAGGGAAGAACATAGTTTTTGAAGCGGATGCTAGACACTTCACACAAGCACTATATTAGGACACTCTCTTTGGGACTGGGTCACTATTTTCTGGCAGATTTTATTTGTGGTCTCATGTTTACTGTTCCCAATGGCCCTGTATGTTCTTTGGGAAGTTAGCTTACTACACACATTATATATTATATTATATATATATATATATATATATATATATATATATATATATATATATATATATAAAAATAATTTATTTATTTTGAGTGAGAGTACACTTGGTGAGTGGCTGCAGCAATCTCCATATTTTTGATTAATTTCACGTAGCAATAATATTGTTTTATGATCAAATAGCAGAGCACAAGTTTCACTGATTTTATTTCTTTTAGCAAAATTAAATTGTCACAAATCCATTATAGTTTCCCTTTAGGTGGATTTGTGACAGTGTCTGAGGTCTTTTTGCTGTACAGATTTCATAGTCTCTATTCCACCTATTATCTTTCCTCTTCTCCTTGCAGAATTTAGGTATCAATCGCATGCCATAAATGTTCCAGCTGCAGCAAAAATCCAGCAGATTCCTGAGGTTAGATGTATAGGTGGATGTGGAAAGTTGTGGCTGTTGAGTCTGTACAAATCAATGACAGGCTGATAATGGGTGCAGCTGTCCGGAGGTATACGGATGTAATCAGCCAGCAATTACATGTGTGTTGGGACAGATGATCACCCTGGGAGCAAACAGTTTGTCCCCAACTTCAAGTTATCGATGGCTGTGTGAATACATCCAAACACCAGTGGACTGCTATAGCCACTGTCAGCCTCTCATTGCTTTGTACAGGCTCAGCACCAGTCTACATCAACCAGTACACCAAGCCGTAGGAATCCCCTGGATCCTTACTGCAGCTGGAACATTTTTGTCATGTGAATGAGGATCTAGAATAACATACAAAGGAATACTGTGAAAATTAGGGAAAAGGAAACCTGATGTCTATTTTAAATGATTTTCATATGATTAGCACTGCAGAAATGCAGGAAATATAGACAGACAGACAGTACCAACTTACTGAGAAGGCTTTCATACTGCAGAAGCTTATTTACTGCAAAGTCAGGACATATTCCTAGAACACTCAAGTTGTACACAATATAAAGAAGGTTTTCAGGTGGAATACTATTGAGGTGTGTCTGTAGGGATGTGTGCACAGCCTCCAGGAACCTAAAAAGGAAAGAAAGACAAATATATTTTTAATGAGGAGTTCCAAAATTTCCCTCTCATATATGAGGCATGCAAAAACAAGACTTACTGCTGTGCCTTTTTTTCAGGAAGATGATTCAGCATGGAGTAGATGTTGATTGTCTCAGATAAATCCGATATTTTTACTGAATTTAAATTATTTGCAAAAACCTCAGCATATCTATCCAGTAGTTGAACATGTCGAAAATGAAGGTGTACAAAGTACTGGAGTATCATAGCCAACTGAAAGAGAAGAAAATCAACTAGTGGTTACAACTTTATAGCCACTTTAATCACAGGAAGAAAATATTGACAAACAATATATTTTGGATCAGCAATTTATGGCCCCAGAGCTAGTACTTGCTTTAAAGTGGGGTCCCAGCACTCTGGCCCTCTACAAGGTTTTACAGAGCACGCAGCTGATGTGCACAGTACAAGCTCTCCCACCCTTTCACAGCTGATGGGCACAGTCTCGGCGTCTTTCATGAGATCCAACATTTTTCTCATGACAGGTTGCAGGGAATCACTCTTTTTCTTTTTTTGGCGTTTAAGAGTACAGCAGACTAAGTTTGGGAGAATTAACACTATGAGCCATTCACAGCTCTTTGCACTGTACTGCCAATTTAAAACTATGAACATCCTTGCAGAGGAATGACTTCATCAATGTGTTTCTGCTACTTCACTCTCCAAACACAGGCTTGGAAGAATCTTGGACCAGGCTGCATAGCACTGCAGCCAATAGGTGGGTTTGGAATCAATCTTTAATGTCTAGCAGTGATGGAAGAAGTACGAAGCAAAGAAAATCACAAATTCTTTGGCAGGTAAAACAGTTCTAAATTTTCCAGCTTTATCTTCATAAGTTTGAACTGCTTTAAAGGACAAGTTAACCTTTTAAAAAAAATAAATGCACTTTTTTTGCAGGTGCCTTCAGTGCACTGCACGGGCAATCAGCAGGCTCTCAACATAGCTGTCTGCCCTTACCTTGTACAGGCAGGTAGTTACTATACCTGAGAGAAGGAATATCAATGTACTACAAGTGCATTCACCAGCGCCCCCAGATCAATGAGAACTACAAGCTGTCAGCCGAAATGGATGGTGGTACTTGTAGGCATTCATCCACAGGAAACTATGGATGAATGAAGTGGCCATGTCGGTGGAGCCCCACTCGTCCGCATTATTTTCAAATTGTAACAGGGACAAGATCCCCCACCCTCTGTCACAGGGAAGGGGCTGCAGATGCTGCATCATGTTACATGTTCCTCCCTAAAAATGGGTGCGGTGGGGGAACATGTAACATGTTTCGAAAGCAAACTTATCCTGACAAACATCCTGTCCTGTGGTCGTTATTTTTATGAACTATCCTAAACCATACCCCTGGCCACACACTATGAGATTAGATAAAATTCAAACAGATTCATCCACGTAACCTTTACAACGTGGAAGGGTGAATCTCCCGTTGCATCTATTGTATTCTGACATTCAACGCCACATTTCATTGAATGCAGCCACTGTTAAGCCAACAATGTTCTGTTCTGGTCCTTCAAGGATAAGCTCACCTTTGGCAACATGTTACGTGTTTCCACCCGCCCCTGCTACCCCCCTGCCCCCCCTCTCTGTGACAGAAGTATGGGGAGAAGCTCCGCCCACATGGCCATGCCATTCATTCACAGTCCTCTGTGAATGAATGGACTACATGTCCCGACAGCCTTAGCAGCTGTCAGTTTGCAGTCCTCAATAAACTACCAAGGTGCTGTGGAGAACTGTGGTAGTTCACTGATTCTTCGTATCAGAAGTATCAGTTTGCTCGTATGGGATGTACGAGCAAGCAAATACATTGCCAGTCTGCAGGAGACTTGCATGGCTTCAGCGATCTGCTGATCACTGGTACAATGCTTTAGAGACTCCTAACACAAAAAATAATAAATGCACATTTTTTTACCTGCAAAATATGTGAATGTATTATTTTTTGTATAAAAGGTGAACTTATCCCTCAAACTTTTTCAATATAAAAATGTTGGCCTTCAGGTTGGCGACAGGGCCACCCACAGAGTGAATTTCAGACGGTTCCAGATGAAGCAAATGGAATTTTCATAGTGTACGGCCTGCTTCAGAACTCTGCCCTTGAACAAAACAAGAAAGATAGGTGTGTGTTGCACATATAGGAATAAGTGACCTGATGAGACCTGCCAGAGAAATTCATAGTGTATTGGACATTCCTCAACTATTTTGAGGTCAATTTCATGCTATTCCAATGCACATAAGAGGCCATTACTACCCCATACCAAAATATACAAGAAGATTATTTTAAAACACAAGACAGGATAATGATCATTGGATAAATTAGAAAATACCCACATAGATGTGATACACATATGATTATTGCTGAGATTTTACCTGCCATGGCTTCCACAAGCAAATGGTCTTTATAATCTGATCCCCAAATGCAGTCAGCAACCTTTCATTGCTATAATCCAGTTCACAGCAGCAAGACAGCACACTTACAATTTTGTTAAACGACAGTTCATCTAGGCTATCTAAGCCAAAAAACAGACAGAAAAAAAATTCAAAATAGGTGACAATACTCTATAAAATCAAGTTTATAAAGACAAACAGCAACTGGTTGGCTCTCTTAGTAGCAAGAGAATAAAGCTGCCTATGTGGCCTAGCCCTTAAACTGTATTTTCACATTTGCAGTAAAATTTCACAAAACTCCAACATACTGTATGTGTGTTATGTTTTCACAAATCACATAGCATGAATAAATAAATATTTCTTAACTTTTAGATGTTCTTCAGGAGTAAGCATCATGGATGACTGAAAGGTTTCTTGAACAATGTTATAATGAGCCTGTCAAGTCTTTTCTCATTAATATACAATGCAAGAAGCCCAGCCTTTAGAATACCAATGTGCCTCTACACAACAAATATCAGTGTGGGCAACAGATTCATGTACCTGTTGCCACAGATATATAACTGTGGAGAAAACATCAAGCAAGTAGGTACACAGAGCTGTTCACCTGTACACTCCGACCTCAGTACAGTGGTACTCCATCCTCACCGCTGAAACTGTCAAACAGACAGCTCAGCAGTGGGGATTTTTGTACGGGGGGGGGGGGGGGGGGGGGCAGAGCCTGATGGGGTTTCACAGACACAAGTTCCCCATCAGGTCCGCTACCCTTGTGATTGACAGCAGGGAGTGGGTGGATCTTTAGCCAATAGACAACCTGCTATTTATTTGACATCTGCCCAATACTGCTGTCAATTTACAAGGTGAGAGCAGAGCAGATTGGGAACTAGTGTCCTTGCTTCCTCGTCAGGCTCCGCACACTGTAGTGTCATTTGTTGTTAGGAGGCTGTCTGCTGTGTAGCCAACTATCCTTAACAAATCAGTGACAGGGAGGAAATAGCAGTGGCAAATATGCAGCTCCGCTACACTATGGACAGGGACAGACACTCTTCCTGTCTCTGTAACCCAATTTAGGATAGGTCTTTTATACACCTCCAGCTTTGTTATCTACAAAACTTGAGGTAATTAAAATTTTTAAAATTGGTACAATATTAGTGCTATTTTGTATTTTATATTAGGAAGCACCTTGAATCTTCTCCACATGTTGGCAAAGTTGCCGAAACAGGCAGTAGAGATTTTTTATTTTGGCACAAGCCATTTTAAAAGGCTATAGCTTATTTCCACCCAACAAATCTAGTTACAACTGAAAATGAAGATCTGCCTGCAAAGTACAGATAGGGTAAATAATGGGCAGCAGTGGCTAAATGGTTAGCACTTCTGCCTGGCAGTACTAGGGTCGTTGGTTCGAATCCCAGCCACGGCACCACCTGCCTGGAGTTTGCATGTTCTCCCTGTGCCTGCGTGGGTTTCCTCCGGGTAGTCCAGTTTCCTCCCACACTCCAAAGACATGCTGGTAGGTGAATTGGCTCCTGTCTAAATTGGCCCTAGTATGTGTATGTATGAATGTAAGTTAGGGACCTTAGATTGTACGCCCCTTGAGGTTTAGGGACTGATGTGAATGTACAATATATATGTAAAGCGCTGCGCAAATTGATGGCGCTATATAAGTACCTGAAATAAATAAATAAATAATAATGACAAACACAGCTGCCCATATTCCTCAAACACAGAAAACTGCCTAGGATTTTTCTTTGCTGGAGGGTCCAGAATACAGCAACTAAAAAAAGGCAAGCTGCATTTTTTTTAGGTTAAGTTATGCAATGTGAATTAATCTTACATTTTTACAGGATTTATATAGTCACAACAACACTTTACAATACGAAAGCAGCCATTCAAGTACATTACAATTTGGTACAAAAGGAATCAGAGGGTCCTGCTCATTAAAGCTTACAATCTAAGAGGGAAGGTCAAATGATATAAAAGATAACTGTGGGGGTGAGCTGATGGAGAAAGTAAAAACACAGTGTATTTATTAGAAGCAGGATAGGCTTCTTTAAAGAGAAGGGTTTTCAGGGATTGTCTAAAGGTGGACAGATTAGGAGATAGACAGACTGGGCTACAGAGTTCTATAGGATGGGAGATACTTTGGAGAAGTCCTGGAGACAAACATGGGAGGAGGTGACAAGGGAGCTAGAGAGTAGGAGTTCTTGGGAGGACCAAAGAGAGCGGTTTGGTTGATATTTTGAGACCAGGTTAGTGATGTAGCTGGGTGCAGAGTTGTGAATGGCTTTGTACACTGTTGTTAGTATTTTGAATTTAATTCATTAGGTGGAAGTGGAGGGATTGGCAGAGAGGGGTAGCAGACACCGAATAGTTGGTAAGGTGGATGAGCCTGGCAGCAGCATTTATGATGGACTGAAGGGGGAATAGCCTATGTAAAGGTAATCCAATGAGGAGGGAGTTGCAGTTGTCGAGGCAAGAAATAACCAGGGAATTAATTAGAAACTTTTGGTGTCGCTGGTTAAAAGGGGCATATTCTGGAGAAGTTGCAGAACTGAGGCAGCATGATTTGGACAGGGATTGGATGTGTGCCTGAAAGGACAGTTCGGGGTAACCCCTAGCACCCTAGTATGCCAGGACAGACTGACAGTTGTATCATTGATCTTGACACAGAAGTCAATGGAAGGGGCACGTGGGGGAGGAAATATTATGAGCTCAGTTTTGGATAGATTGAGTTTGAGGGAGTGGTGTGACATCCAGTCTGATATGTCTGCTAATAAATCAGTGATACATGAGAAGATTGATGGGGTGAGCTGAGCGGTAGAGAGAGACAGATTTCAGTGTCATCAGCATAGAAATGATATTGGAAGCCATGGGAAGCGGTGTAGATCGAAAATAGGAGAGGTCCAAAGATAGAATCTTGGGGGACCCCAACGGTAGGAGGTGCGGTGAGATAGGTAAGATGCGAACCAATGGAGAGTATAGTCACAGAGACCAAGGAGTTTTTTTTTTTTGAGGAGGGGGTGGTCAACTGTATCAAAGGCAGCAGAAAGGTCCAAGAGTAAGAGTACGGAATAGTGACCTTTGGTTAGTAAGTCGTTTGTGAGTTTTAGGAGAGCAGTTCTGTGGAGTTTTGTGGGCAAAGTCCAGACTGAAGGGGACAAAGAAGGTTATTCTCAATGAGGTGGCAGTTCAGCTGGTTATAGACTAGATGCTCAAGGAGTTTGGAGGCAAAAGGGAGTAAGGAGATAGGTTGTTAAAATTGGTGGGGTCCAGTGAGGCCTTTTTAAGTATGGAGGTGATTAATACATGTTTTAGAGGGTTGGGGAAGATGCCAGTAGAAAGGGAGAGATTGAAGATATGAGTTAAAGAGTGTAGGATAGAGTCAGAGTGTGACCAAAGTATTTGCAAGAGAACAGGGTCCAGGGGGCAGGTGATTAGGTGGGCATTGGAAAAAAAAGTTTAGTGAATTCCTCTATAGTAGCTGGGTTAAGGGAAGTGTAGATTGTGCAGGTGCACAAGGAATGTAAGGTGGAGATCTCGTCACATATTGTATCGATCTTATTTTTGTGGTGATTAGCGATCTGGGTGATCGGTGAGTGCGTTAGTTGGTGGAGGTACTGAAGGACAAAGTGGAGAGTTAAAGGTAGAAAAGAGTTGACAGAGACTGCGTGAAAGGGTGTTAATGAGAGTGATAAAATAGGTCTGTTTGGCAGTGTGGAGGCAGGAATTGTATTTTTGGAGGGCAGGTTTCTATTGCTTCAGGTCTTGCTGGGACTTAGTCTTATGCCACAGATCTGCCAGAGCGTGGCTTCTGGTATTGTCTGTTTGCCAGAGTTTCAGCAGTCGGGGCCTGATTCTGTGTCTAATGAGAGGGCCAATGTATCAAGGGTGGATCACAGTGAACTGTTATAGGCAGAATTGGCCAGGTTGGGGCAGGAGAGGGCTTTTTGTCAGAGACAATATGTTGCAGAAAAAAAAAAAAAAAAAAAAAGAAGAGTTACGATGGTTAAGGTTTCTACAGGTAACAGTTGGGCAGTTGGATGGCAGGAAAACGAGGAGACAATGAAACTAAAAAAAGGTAGTGATCAGAGAGAGGAAAAGGAATGCTGAAGAGGTTGCAAGGAGTGCATAGGTAGGAGAACACAAGGTCAAGGCGGTTTCCATCAGAGTGAGTAGAGGTGTGTGTCCATTGTTTTATGTTAAAAGAAGAGGTTAGGCTCAGAGGTTTAGAAGTAGCAGGAGTGTTAAATTGACAGGGATGTTGAAGTCACAGAGAATGATTGTGGGGATTTCAGAAGAGAGAAAGTAGGGTAATCATGCAGAGAAGTCACCAAGGAAGCTTGATACCGGTCCAGAAGGCTGATAAATCACAGCAATTCTCAAAGAAATTAGAGAAAATAGACGAATACAGTGAGCTTCAAAATGATAAAAAGGGACAGAGAGGGAGGTGAATGAAGGACTTGAAAAGTGCTTTGAGGGGATAGGATGATTTCAACTCCACCTTCCTTCTGTCTATTAGGCCTGGGAGAGTGAGTCTAGAGGAGGACACCATGGGAGAGGGCAAGTCAGATTCTTGAAGCCAGGCTTTTCAAATTGCAAGTAGGTTAAGGGTGTTTGTGATAAAAAGGTCACGGACAGAGGTGAGTTTGTTACAGACAAGGCGGGAATTCCAAATGGCACAGGAAAAGGGGATCTGGTTCTATGAAGAAGAGTAATAGAAACCAGATTGTTTGGATAGCGGCTGCTGTTAGAGGATAGGGGATGCCGGGTGTGTTGGTCAAAAGTAAATAATGTCAGTCCAGGATTTGGGGGAAATATCTCCAGATGTTTGGAGAAGGGTGAGGGAGGTAGTATATGGAAGTGTGACTTTTATGAAGGGACATGTCACAGTGTCCTGGAGGTTTTTTTTAGTATGTGGGTTCAGAATTAGCAGGAGTTGACGAGTGTAATACTAAGGTGAAGACAGACGTGAGGGTGATATATATAAAGCTGAGGGGTAGAGAAGGGGGGTGAAAGAAAGAGTTTGAGGAGAGAGGACACAACTGTGAGAAGGAGAAGTAGGAACTGCAAGTTACAGAGTGGTGAGATTAAGAAGCAGACTGGGTAAGAGAGAAAAAAAAAGCTGGATGGGGAAAGGGGTCACCTGCTGTCTGTTTAGTGTTTTGCAAAGTAGTCTGCTATGGATTCTCGCTTTGTGCATTCGCTGAAGTGCAGAGCCAAAGTGCAACAGTTAATCCAAGATAATAGTTGCCATTGCTATCCTCACCTGTGCTACTACTGCCTGTGCATCCCCTAAAGAAGGCCTAAATTTATACTGAATGGGTGCATGTAACAAATATATAGTAGGTGTTTCCCCAATTTGGCTGCAAAAGCGGCAGCTTATATCTAAATTAAACAAGGAAGCTGCAGAGTTTTTGGGTTCTTTCACGTGAACTTTTAGAGGCTCAAAAAGCAAACTTTTGAGTAGCTGCAGGTGGTTGATTTGTGTAAATTCTGACGTTCCTGTGTATTGGAATTTACCTATGCATGTGCATATGGCGCATTTACTTAACACGCGAGTCTTGAAATTGCGGAAATATGCTTTATGTGTATGTGGTTACAGCATTTGAATGTTCTTGTACACGAGGCCTTGAAAGTACATTCACAAGGCCAAAAAACTGACAACCACTTATATTACAAAATTGGAACTGGCCCTTTCATGGACAGGATTATTTAGTAATAAGGTGCAAAGCAAGGATATAAAAGTGCTGCATGCGTGTCTACCATTTGTATACACACTATTACGATGGAGAGGATAAAACGGTATTTAACTGAAAAAACATTTTTTAAATCTGCTAGTAAGTTGGTTCTTTTTCAGCTTCCTTTAACAGACCAAGCTGTCCAGCAAAAAATGACAGTTGACAATACTCAGATTTTATTAATTTATTTTACTGCTTAAAAAGTGTTAGCTGGGGGGGGGGGGGGGGTGCTCATGAGCAAAGTCCAAGATGGCCGCTCGGTAGGCACACATCTCAGTGGGGTCAGACAGTTGCCCACAAAACACCCCCCGGATCGCTGCCACCCACCCGCCCTGATGGCAAAAAAAAAAAATGGGGGCCGCCCGCACCTCCAAGCGCTCGGCAGGCAGCGCCTGAACTTGCGGTCTACCCGCCAGAGGCTGCATCTGAAGCACCGGCTTCGATTTCGAACCCGCCGCTACTCACGGGTGAACTGGATCCTGCTGACAAAGTGGACACTGTGTCAGAGGCACCCCTGCAGTCCCCCGCACTGGCTCTGTGGGATGCTGAGCTCCTGGGTCGCTTCGAGTCTATGTTGCAGACAGAATTGTCCTCTGCCTCTTGTAGGCTGGAAGAACATCTCTCCAGAGAAATTAGTGCCCCCAAGAGACATTATCATTAAATTTACCTATTATTGCACTAAGGAAACCATTCCCTTGTTGACCAGGAATAACCCGGACCTCAGTTTCCAGGGGCATTGATATCTCTTCTCAGACTTCTCCCAGATCACTCTTTACAAGCGCAGCCAGTTGAAGCCCTTCACCTTGGTCTTGGTGAATCGCAGAATTAAATATATATGGGGCTTTCCGTTCCACCTCACCTTCTACTACCAGGGCCATAGCCACTCTGTTGCCACACCGGAGGAGGCCCACTCTCTTCTGGAATCCCTGCATCTTATCCCGCTGGAAGGTGCTGCGCAGAGTCCGACACATTCATTCATTCATAAAACAATGGACACACACCTCTCGCCAAATTCTCTGGGCCGCCTCTGAGAGAAGGCATCCAAGCAAAAGAGGGCCCTTCCTCGGACCCCTCTACGACCAAGTCTAACTTGCTCTTCCCCGGGCTGAAATTGTACCCAGGACGTCCTCCATTGTGCTTCACCGTTGAATCCTTTTTTTGACAGGACTGTGAGTTTGGCCTTTTAGGCATTTTCAGTATTGATAGTGTTATATGATTGGGCCCTGCACGGCCGGTTCCCTTGGGGTTCAGTCTTTGAGCAGGGGGTCACCTCCTGGGCTTGAGGTCTGTGACTTTTTGCCACTGAAGAATACCATGGGTCCCGGCGACATTGGTTGGATTCACATTAGTGGAACGGGCCGATAGTTCTCTCGGGCTCTAGGGAGGGAGGTGGCTCAAGTGGGCCCTTATTCGATGCTAGGGTGACAGCCTTACTGGGGCGCTGGGGTAGGGTACCATCTGGGCTGTGTTGTTTGGGTTCCGTTGTAGCCTGTAGTCATCCCCTTGGAGGGGGTTGGGCTCCTAAAGCCTAGCTGGGTTGCCTACGAGGGTTTCCATGGGTGTGACCCACTTCCTGGGGACTCACTCACTAGTGTGGGACTATGTCCTGTTATGTCTGTTGCCTTTTTACCCCCTTGGGGCCTATGTTTTTGATGTATCCCATTTGCAGCCATGTGTTCGGTGGTATAGCCACCCCCTTATTCCTTTTCTGCTGAGCGGATCCTGCCATGGCTTCACCTCTTTTGAAAGTACAATCAAAAATATACAAGGCGTTAATTCGCCTCAGAAGCGGTCTAAAGTTTTTCATAACCTCAAACCGCAATAAATTGATGTGGTATGCTTGCAAGAAACCAGGTTTGCCCAGTCCTCTGCTCCAAGGTATCTTCGCCTCATTATCCCACTTTTTACACGGCCTTGGCTCCTGAGAAACAATGGGGTGTTCTGATAGCCATCAAACGCAATCTCCCTTTAACCTGTGCTTGGAATATAGCAGACCCCATGGGCAGGTCCTGCAGAGCACCCACTGGGATCAGGAGGTCACTTTTGTCTCTTATTACGCCCCCAATCACTTGCAGCACAAATTTTTCTCTCATCTTTGTATCGTAATTTCCCGACACTCCAAGGGCCGCCTTCTTCTTTTGGAGATTCAAATGTTGCCTTGAATTCCGCTCTACATAGGCGCTATGCCCCTTCTCAGGAGGAACATGTGTTCACTCTGAGTGCGACTTTACGTTCTACTTAAATCCTCACAACAGTTTCTGCAGAATCAATCACGTATTCATGCTTGTCCATCAGTTTCCTTTAGTCAGGTGGATATCTATCCCTTCCTTACCCTGGTCAAACCAACGATCCCCTGGTTCTACTTCTTGCACGTTCGGGGTTGGCACAGCGCCCTTTTCACTGGCGCATTAACGAGTCTTTATTGTCTACCTGAGTCTACCTGCCAGCAAATTGCATCTTTCATACAAACATATTTTACAGAGAACTCGGGCTCTGTTTCTTCGGCAGTGCCCCTATGGGAGGGCCACATTATACAGCTGGCTGCGGCTCGGAAGGAGTGTCGGCTTTCGGACCTTCATTCTCTGCTAGACTCTGCGGATGATCGTTGGAAATCGCACCCGTCTGCAGCCCATAAACGAACGTGAGACTCCCTGGCTGCAGAATTGGATTTACTTGCATCTTCGGAGGCTGAATGGGCCTTACGTTGGACCAAACTAATTTTATACCTGTGCTAATAAACCGGGTCCAATGCTGGCTAGGAAATTCAATTCTGTGGGGAAACCCTACAAACCGGTTTTGTTGCGGCTCTCTGCTGCAGGCTGCTGTCAGGCACCGCCCGGTAGGATCTCTAGTGATCCACAGAACGGGATTCCCAAGGACGCGGAGTCTAAGCCCCAGTATGCCTTTTCACCAGAGCCCTGATGGTGGGGATGGACTTGGTGCAAGACTGAGACCAGGTCGTGGTCCCTGAGTGCACCCAACTGTGGTAAAGGGGTCCGCCGAGGGTATGTATGTGCCAGGGATGAGCCTGATGTGATTAGGTTGGCAGGTCCTGGACTCGTGCGGGATGGATGACAGTATGGAGTATGCGTGGTCAAACAAGCTGGGTCGGTAACGGTGGAGGCAGATCGGTACAGAGCAGCAGGCAAAGAGTAAACGGGTCACGAGCCAAGGTTCAGCAACAGGAGGTCAAACAACATAGGAGTAGGCAGAGGAATAGTCAGGGACAAGCCAGGGATCAGAGCAGGAGACGGTCAGCAAGAATCAGGAACAGGCAGAGTTGGCAACTAAGGAACTTCTCTCAGGAATGGATAAACAGGAGACTAGACCTTACGGCAACCTGATCACTGCATGGCTAGTTTAAATAGCGTGCCCTGCACCGTCATTGGTGCCAGGCGCGCGAGTGCGCATGTGCGGCCGCAATTGCCGCCGCGGACACCCAGGTCCTAGTGCCTGCACATTGGTGCGCCTAGGCAATCTGTGCATGCGCAGACCCGTGCGCCGTGGCGAGCCCTGAAATCCCTGACAGCTGCACTTCCAATCCCCAGCAGATCGTCTCGCGGACTTCCTTTCATACCTGCATGCCAAACTAAATCCCTTTCCTGCAGCTCAGGCGGAAGCATTCTTTCAAGATCTACAACTCCCTGGATTGTCCGAAGCAGCGCAGGTAGCCCTTAATGCTGGTGTAACAGTATCAGAAGTACTTAAAGTTATCAAATCTTTACGGTCCACTGCAGCCCCAGGTCCTGATGGCTCTTTGGATCTCTACTACAAGAAGTTTGCAACTCTGTTGGCGCCCTTTTTGGCTGGTTACTTCAATGAATTGCGACAGGGTTCTCTGCCCTCTCCGGACGTGCTTAGGGCTCATATCTCAATGATTCCTAATACTACGGAAGACATGCAGGTAGCGCAAGCCTTCAATTGTCAGATATATAGATATATATCTATATATATCTATATCATAACATTTTTTGTCTTTTTTTTTTCCCAGCCAGAGATTTAAAAAAAAAAAATTGCACCACAGGCGAAGCATTTGGCTCATGGCTTCAATAAGGCACTACTGACTCCAACAGCTGAGTTTGACAGATGGTGTCGAAGGAAGGTGAAACCACGGGCTCAACTATCTGTTTTTACTGACCCCCATGTGAAAGAGACCTAAAAGGTAAAATTTGCACATTATTATACAAATTTATTTTTAACTAAATGTTCGTGTATTGGTAACCATATCAGTACCTACCAATGAGTTTACAACTGTAAGCGTTCAGTAGATGTTCAGAATAGAAGTCAATATCAGCAAGGACACAAAATAGTTTTTCACTCTGTTCAACAGTAAATCTGTCAACCATCTGTAAAGCTTTTTTCTTAAAAGAGGGAAAAAAGAAAAGTTTTATACTTCAAAATACTCCTATAAAATGAGGCTTAGTAATTGTAACGATTAAAAAAAAAAGAAAGAAAAACAATTCAAGGGTAACCTCACTATAAATAGGCGTGTAAAGCAAATAGAGAGATTGCATTATATTATATCCAAATTCTGCCTCTATCTTGATACATTAGGTCAGGGGCCCACAAAAGTCTATAGGCAAATCTCGAACACCTAAGAAGGAGAAATCTGCAGTGCTTACATTGAGGAGAACTATCTTAACTACACTATACTGCCAAAAGTATTGGGATTCAGATGTTCCAATCACCTCTATGGCCACAGGTGTATAAAATTAGGCACTTAGGCATGCAGACTGCTTCTACAAACACTTGTGAAAGAATAATTTGTTCTCAGGAGCTCAGTGAATTCAAGCATGGTATCGTAATAGGTTGCCACCTGTGCAGTAAGTCCATCCGTGAAATTTCCTTGCTACTAAATATCCCCACGGTGAACTGTTAGTGGTATTATAACAAAGTGGAAGCAACTAGGAACAGCAGCGACTGAGCCATGAAGTGGTAGGCCACTTAAAAGGACAGAGCTGGGTCAGCGCATGCTGAAACGCACAGTGCGCAGCAGATGTCAACTGTCTGCAGAGTCAATAACTTAAGACCTCTAAACTTTGTGTGGCCTTCAGATTAGAACAACAGTGCATAGAGAGTTTCATGGAATGGGTTTCCATGGCCTAGCAGCTGCATCCCAGCCTTACAACACCAAGTACAATGCTAAGTGTTGGATGCAGTAATTTAAATAAAGCACACCACCACTGGACTCTAGAGCAGTGGAGACGTGTTCTCTGGAGTGACAACTCAAGCTTCTCTGTTTGGCAATCTGATGGACATGTCTGGGAATGGTGGTTGCCAGAATGGTACTTGGCTGACTGCACTGTGCCAAGTGTAAAGTTTGGTGGAGGGGGGATTATGGTGTGGGGTTGTTTTTCAGGGGTTGGGCTTGGCCCCTTAGTTCCAGTGAAAAACTCTTTAAGGCGTTGGCATACAAGACATTTTAGACAATTTCATGCTCCCAGCTTTGTGGGAACAGTTTGGGGATGGCCCCTTGACTGCGCACCAGTGCACAAAACAAGGTCCATAAAGACATGGACGAGCGAGTCTGGGGTGGAGGAACTTGACTGGTCTGACCTCAACCCGATAGAACACCTTTGGGATGAATTACAGCAGAGACTGTGAGCCAGGCCTTCTCGTTCACCATCAATGTTTGACCTCACAAATGCACTTCTGAAACAATAGTCAAACATTCCCATAGACACACCTCCTAAACCTTGTGGTCAGCCTTCCCAGAAGAGTTGAAGCCGTTATTGCTGCAAAGGGTGGGCCAACTCAATATTGAACCCTACGGACTAAGACTGGGATGCCATTAAAGATAATGTGCGTGTAAAGGCAGGTGAACCAATACTTTTGGCAATATAGTGTATTTTTGACCATTCTGTGCCCAGAGGTCTTTGAAGCCTTAATTGCTCAGGGCAAATTCAGCAGCCTCAGTATGTGTCAGTTTTCCTTAACACACCTCTCATTAAAGAAGACAGGAAGTTACACACAGATATTTGATCACAACCAACATGTCTATACCTCTCAAGCTGGTTAAACTGGTGCAATCTCTTTCTGATTGTAGATGCATACACCAACTGCTGCAAGAGTTACATGTACATCCTGTGTTCTTGGAGACACCCCACTGTTTGAGTATTTATTATCAATGACCACTGCACATACCGATAGCTTTGGTGGACTTTGTATCCCAGAGGAGACTGGGGGTCAAGATCAATTTTAGTCTGGCCCATAGGGAATAACTGATCATTGCAAACAGATTAAAAAAACAGACACCACCCCTGTTCTCTAAAATACAGTGCATAACCCTTTAATCAATACCACTTTTATGTAGGCCACAATAAAAACTGACACCTCTACTAGAAATAGCTATCCCATATTTTAGTGCAACTGCGTTAAAAGTGATATTCTCGCGCTATGTGAAAAATACTGTAAACTGATAGATATATATTTTACTGTATCTATCTATATAGATTTATATACAATAAATCAACCTGTGTTTGTCTACAATAATATAAGTGATCTAGAGCTGCTGCTGTCTGAAAGGGAGGACCCTTCAAATACCATAACACATACAGTTTAACAGCGCTGGTCTTATATTACAAAAAACATAACCCCTATCCACGTGCTTAAAAAGTTCAATAAAGTGAAATAAGTAGTCTATGAATAGATAAAGTAAAGTCCAATAACAAAAGTGCAACCGTGCAAACGACGTTTGGTTGATGCAGGGATTGTGTTGTGCTCCCCTCCTTTGTATCCCCACTCACACGATTGATGTGAACTCCTATTGCCACGAGTCAATACCGCTTGGATAAAGAACTTTTCTGAATGTGGATTCTCCTTTCCTCAGTACTCCACCGAATTCCCAGGTGTTGGTATGTAAAAGGCTCATAAACTATACATAGCACAATATAATTCCGTATTATTTTATTAAAATAATAAAATCAAATTCCACTCACAAAATAAAGCTATAGTAAAGCCTATATACTGAGCCGGGAACACTGCCGCAGCTTGCGCTCCACCGGCCAGATGTGACGTCACTGGAAGTCCCCACCTAAGGCGTTTCGCCCCTCCCACAGGGCATCTTCAGAGACTGGGGCTGCCGGTGATAGGTGCTGCTTTTATGTCACTCGCCGCCAACGTTTAACCCACATTTTCCACCTCATATCCTTCGTTAATAATGTCATTTCCTCTTCCTCCCGCAGCCATATTGGTGCACCAGTCAGTATACTCCCATGTATACTATTACGATCACCATCTGGGTACACTCATTGTGCACCAACAAAAACTTCAACATTTGAATATAAAACTTACCCCATACGCAAATTCATGCAACACAATGTTAGCTTACTATTTGTACTATTGTTACTAAAAATATATTACGATATCACTAAAATTCCCCCACATGGATGCCACATACCTCCCCTTTGTTAATTGCACATTTTTAAAATTCACATAATTTACAATCTTATACATAACATTACATTCATAATGTGCGTTCATATATCCTTTCACTACATGTAAAAAATTAAACATTAAATGATAATAAAAAAATAAGGATTAAGACTAAGTGCTGTAATAGCATCAAAAGGCGCTTCAACAAAGTATTAGTTTAACCACTTGCCAACCGCGCTATAGCCAAATAACAGCTACAGCACGGCTGTCCAGTTCATATGACGTCTTCCCAGAACGCACCCTTATCCCGTGCGCCCCAAGGGGCGCGCATCTGGCGATCTCCATGATCGCTGTGTCCTACAGACACAGCTGATCACGTGATGTGGTAAAAGGCCAATCACAGCGGCTTTTTACCATGTGATCAGCTGTGTCCAATGACAAAGCAGATCACCATTAAATGCAGTTGCCGCTTATCGGCTGCACTTTCCTCATGCTGTCACAGCCTCACGTTGGCCACCTGTGCCCAGCAGTGCCCCCAGTCAGTGCCACCAATCATTGTTGCATCAGTGCCACCTATCAGTATCCATCAGTGTTGCCTATCAGTGCAGCCTCATTAACATACATCAGTGAAGCAGAAATATTACCTGTTTGAAAATTTTATAATAGAAACAAAAAAAAAACTTTTTTTTCCTTTTCAAATTTTTTGCTCTCTTTTTTTGTTTTTATAGTGCAAAAAAAAAAAAAAAAACGGCGAGTAAATACCACTAAAAGAAAGCTCTATTTGTATGGAAAAAATTATATAAATTTCATATGGGTACAGTACTGCATGCCCATGCAATTGTCATTCAATGTGTGACAGCGCTGAAAGCTGAAAATTGGCCTGGGCAGGAAGGGGGTATAAGTGCCCGATAGGCAAGTGGTTAAGGGTGTGCACACTTATGCAACCATATTATTTTAATTCTTTATTTTACTTCCCTCCACCTAAAAGATTTCAGTTTGTTGTTCAACTGAGTTGTACATTTTATAGGTCACAATAAAAGGTGGAAAAAGTTCTGAAATTATTTATCTTTGTCTCATTTTTTTACATCACAGAAACCTGACATTTTAACAGGAGTATGCAGACTTTTTATATCCACTGTATATATATATTTTAGTGAAAATCTTATGTTTTGTTAACCCAGTACTAATCACCTATTTCTATTGGTCCCGATTTTCAAAAATTAGTTAGGAAGCCATTGATATCTATTTCTACAGTTAAACCTCTGGGGGGGCACGGTACCTAAATAATAAATCCACTTGGTTTCATTTTGTGAAACTGCTATTTTCATGTTGGTAACCCTCCAATGTTTTGCATTCCAATATATACCACAAAAATCTCAGTTGTGTGGGATCCTCATTATGAAACCAGCAAAAATGAGCCAAAACCCTTCTTTATATTATTCATGTGTTCCCTCAACTTAATTCTCAGTTCACTAGTTGGAATTGTGTGCTTTTTTATTTTCTTTTATGCACGTCCTGCAAGGTAAGCATTTTCTACATCTATAAAAACCAATCTGGTCTAAAAAAGTAACTGTTTTCCTTGGTGGATTGAATAGATTTTTGACAATTAAGTCTTTTAATATTGGTGGACGTCTATAAACAAATTTTGGGAGTTTGGGAATAACTTTAGCTAGAGCTGGATCTCCTAATAAGATTGGCCAATGCTTTTTCACTGCCTTCTCTATCAGTTTATGTTGCCTATTGTATTCTAGACAAAAACTATTCCATAATCCTTTTTTTTTTTAATTTAGTTTCTAATAATTGTTCCCTATTCATGTATTTAACTTGGCTCTTTACTTTATATAGGCTTTCTTTCTTATATAATTTTTCTAGGAATCTATCAATAATAGTCTATAGAATTGGTGAATAAATGATGTAAAAAAGTCACTTCAAATAGATGATGTTCCAGAAGGTGATAATTAGCCAGGGAAATAAACACAATCCAGTG